CCCAGTACCCATCCCATCACTACCCCAGTTACCATCCCATATCTCCCAGTAACCCATCCCCAAATACCCCAGTTACCCATCCCAACACTCCCCCAGTAACCATCCTCCAATCACTACCCGTTACCCATCCCAAAACACTCCCAGTAACCCTTCCCCAACATACCCATAGTTACCATCCCCAAACTCCCATTAACCCATCCCAACCTACCCTGTGTACCATCCCAATGACTCCCCAGTTAATCCCTAACCCAACATACCCAGTTTAACCATCCCCAACACTCCGTAACCTCCCCACACTCCCCCAGTAAACCATCCCAACACTCCCAGTAACCTCCAACACTCCCAGTACCATCCCCAAACACTCCCCGTAAACAACCCAACAATTACCCAGAGTAACTACCCAAATCCAAGCATACCCTCACAACATCCAGTACATCCCAAAAAATATTATTAAAAAAACACTACCCAGTAACCATCCCAAAACTACCACTAGTAACCCATCCCAACACTACCCAGTAACCCTCCAACATCCAGTAACCTCCAACATACCCCGCAGTTAACCAACCCAACACTCCCTAGTAGCCACCCCAACACTCCCAGTAACCATCCCAACACTCCCCCGTAACCCATCCCCAACACTACCCCTAGTAACCCATCCCAACACTCCCCAGTAACCATCCCAAACACTCCCAGTAACCCATCCCAACACTCCCCAGTAACCCCATCCAACCTCCCCAGTAACCCCTCCCAACACTCCCCCAGTTTTACCATCCCAACACTACCCCAGTTAATCATCCCCAACACTCTCCCAGTAACCCCTCCCCAACACTCCCAGTAACCATCCCCAAAACTTACACAGTTACCCATCCCCAACACTCCCCAGTTACCCATCCCCAAACATCCCCTATACACCATCCCAACACTCCCAGTTCTACCATCCACCAAACCACCCTTGGTTACTAACTTCCCCTACATCCCAGTAACCCATCCCAACTCACACAGTAAAACATCAACCTACCCCAGATACCCATCCCGCCAAACACTCCCCGTTACCCATCCATGAACACTTCCCCAGTTACCATCCAAACTCCCAGTCCATCCCCAACATCCCAGTTACCCAATCCCCAACATCCTGATACATCCCGTACATCCCCCGTTAACATCCCAAACATACCCAGTTTAGTCCCTCCCCAACACTCCACCCAGTCTTACATCCCAACAACCCCAGTAAACATCCCAAACATAACAGTAACCTAAATCCAAACTCCAGTTCCAATCCCCAACTTCCCCAGTTACCCATCCCAAACTCCCAGTTACATAACACTCCAGTAACCATCCCAACACTCCAGTTAACATCCAACACTCCCAGTTACCTCCAACATTTCCCCCAGTTACCATCCCAACACTACCAAGTTACATCCCAACACTCCCAGTTGACCCATCCCAACCTACCCCAGTTACCATCCAACACTCCCCCAGTTACCTTCCTACACATCCCGGAACATCCCAACACTCCCCAGTTACATCCAACATCCCAGTAAAACCACCCCCATCCACCAACACTCCCCCAGTAAACTCCATCCCCAACACTCCCATGTAAGTACCATCCAACACTCCCAGTAACCATCCCCAACACTCCCCTAGTTACCATCCCAACACTTCCCCCTGTATCCCATCCCCATCATCACTGCAGTATAACCATCACAACTCCGTATCCTCCCGCAACACTCCCAGGAAACCAATCCCCAACACTCCCCCAGTAACCATCCCCAACAATCCCCAGTAACCATCCACCACTACCCCAGTAAACCATCCCCATCACTCCCCCAGGGAAACCATTCCAACATCCCAGTACCCATCCCCTAAACACTCCCCAGTAACCATCCAACATCCCATGAACCATCCAACACTCCCCTAGTAACCCTCCCAAACACTCTCACCAGTAATCCAATCCCAAAAACTCCCACAGTCACCCATCCAAATCCCCCAGTAACCAAACACACTCCACAGTAAACCCATCCACATCCCCAGTAACATCAAACACTCCCCCGTAACCATCCCCAAACCGTGGCCACCAGTATATCCCATCACCACACTCCCCAGATCCATCCCAACAGGCTACCAGTTACCCATCCCAACATCCCAAGTTACCAACCCCAAAACACTCCCTCCAGAACATCCCCAACATCCCCAGTTACCATCCCCCAAACTCCAGTTACCATCCCCAAACATCCAGGTACATCCCAACTATCCAGGAACCATCCACCAAACATCCCAATAACATCCCAACACTCCCCCAGGGTGAACATCCCAAAAACTCCAAGGAACCCACCAAACACCAGGAAACCCATCCAACCTCCCCCTGTTACACCCACACTCCAGTTACCCATCCAACATACCAGGAACCCCTCCCCACCATCAGGAACCCTCCCAACACACCCCAGTAACCATCCAAACACTCCACCAGTAAACATCCAACACTCCCAGGAACCCATCCCCAACATTCCCAGGAAATCCCAAAAATCCCCCGAAACCATCCCAAACACTCCAGTAAGTCCATCCCAACACTCCCCAGGAACCCTCCAACTCTCCCCAGTAACCCATCCCAAACTCCCAGTAAACCATCCCCAACACTCCCCCAGTAAACCCTTCCCAACACTCCTCAGGAACCATCCCCACATTCACAGTAACTCCTCCCAACTCTCACCAGTAACCATTCCCAATCACTTGTCCCCGGAACCCATCCAACCTCACCAGTAAACCCATCCCCACATGTACCGTAACCAATCCCCAACCCTCCACAGTATACCATTCCCAGCCACTTCCCCTTAACAATCCCCAACATCCCACAGTACCCATCCCACACTCCCCCAGTAACATCCCCAACAATCTCCCCAGTAACCATGTGTCCACCACTCCCCAGAAACCAGTCCAAAACACTCCCCCAGTCACCCTCCCTAACATCCCGCAGTAACCCATCCCCAAAACCTACCCAGGTAACCCTCCCAAACTTCCCAGTAACCATCCCCAACTATCCCAGTTAAATTCCCAACACTACCCATTCACAACCCATCCTAACACTACACAGTAATCCAACCCAACTCTTCACCAGTAACCATTCACACTCCCCAGTAACCATCTCCAACACTACCCCAGTAACCTTCTACAACACTACCCGTAACCCCTCTCCAACACTCCCTATGTAACCCCATCTCCAACTACCCCAGTACCATCCACCATACTCTAGTACCCATCCCCAACACTACCCAGAAAACCCATTCCAAACACTACCCTATGTTAGTAACCATCCCAAAAACATACCCAGTAACCAGTTCAACATACTCCCCAGTAACCCATCCCAAACACTACCCTAGTAACCATCCCCAACACGCACCCTAGTGTAACCATCCCAAGCACTACCCTTGTAACCCATCCCCCTCAAACACTATCCAGTAACATCTCCAACACTTCCCAGTAAACCATCTCCAACACTTCCCAGTAACCATCCCCAACACTCCCCAGTAAACATCCCAAACGTCCCCAGTAACCCATCCAACACTTCCCCCAGTAACCTTCCAACACCCCCAGTTGCCCTTCCCCAACATCCCCAGTAACAATCCAACACTCCACAGTAACATCCCCAAAACACTTACCCCAGTAGCCATCCCAGCACTCCCAGTAACCCAAACCAACACTACCCAGTAACCCCATCCCAACATTCCCCCAGTATCCATCCCCAACACTTACCCAGTAAACCATCCCAAACTCTCCCCGTACCATCCCCAAACTACCCCAGTGTAACCCACCTCAACACTACACATAACCCATCCTCAACACTAGTCCCCATTAACCCTTCCCCAACATTCCCCAGATAACCATCCCCCAACACTAACCCAGTAAACCATCCACAACATACCCAGTAACCCATCCCAACACCTCCCAGTAACCCATCCCAACATACACAGTAACCCATCCCAACATCCCAGTAACTATCCCAACACCTGCCTCCAGTAACAAGCCAAACCCCACAGTCAACCATCCCAACACTACCGCGTAACCATCCCAACTCTCCCCCGTAAATATCCCAACACTGCCCAGTAAACCATTCCAACTGTGTTCCCCCCCAGTCAACCCATTTCCCAGCCAGTATCTTCCAAGATTGAATCCTGCTAAACATATCGTCTGGTCTTACCAAAATCTGCCAGCTTAGTCTGAAACATTTATATTACCTGATGTATGAACCTCTTCCTGTATGAAGTAGTATGAGTGGAATATTACTGCTGGTGTCATCATAATGTAAATTATGTAGATAGAATAGTTGTGTAGCAACACTGTGGTGTCCCATAATGTAATATCATATAGACTTAGTTGTAGGCCAACATGGGGTTTTGTCCATATGTACTATCATTTAGAATTGTCTAGCAACATGCTGGTGTCTATAAAAATGTAAACTATCATATAGAATAGTGTAGCAACATGTGGTGTCCCATAGTATGTAAACTCTCATTTATAGATAGTGTAGCTACACTGCTGGTGTCCATAATGTAAACTAATCATATAGAATAGTGTTTGACAACACTGCTGGTGTCCCATATATGTACTATATATAGAATGTGTAGCAATACTATGCTGGGTCCCAGAAAGTAGATATATATAGGAATAGTGTGTAGCAAAACATGCTGGTGTACATAATGTAAACTATCATTAGAGATAGTGTTGAGCAACACACTGCTGGTGTCGTAATATAATCGTAACTATCATATAGAATAGTGTAGCAACACACTGCTGGTGTCCCATAATGTAACTATCGTATAGAATAGTGTAGCAACACACTGCTGGTGTCCCATAATGTAACTATCATATAGAATAGTGTAGCAACACTGCTGGTGTTCCTACAATGTAACTATCATATAGAATAGTGTAATGAGACTGTTGGTGTTCCCATAGTGTGACTTTGATGTAAAATAACTTGCAAGACTTTAGTTATCGTGTTTCCACAGGTGACATGGAGAGGATCCAGCGGTTTTGGTTGACCGGAGCTTGTAAACCCAAGAAACAGAGTAAGAGAGCCTCTGAACCCCTGGCACTGGAGCAGTTCCTCTCCGCCTACCTCCTCCTCTTCTCCGGTGTTCTCCTTGCTCTTATTCTCCTCCTTCTTGAGCATCTCTACTTCAAATACGTGAGGAAGCATCTGGCCAAGACGGACTCGGGTGGATGCTGCGCCCTCATCTCTCTGGTAAGATGAATCTTCTTCAGTCACAAGGTGATTACATTGGTTATATATTGATTTGTTGAAATTATATTTGATATCGAGAATTTGAAGCCTAAGACACGGGTGCAACGTTTGAGTAAGCCTACACAGTAGCCTTCTTCAGTCAACTGCAGAGACAGCAGGCGTGGTAGAGAGGTAATAAGGTGATGAAATCAGTCTCATCAACCTTGTAGAGTATTTGAGATGGTCAATCCCTCAGCCTGGAGAAAAGAGTTCCATGGTCTGGAACATTGTTCCAGTGTTCAGTTCCATGGTCTGGAACATTGCTGTTCCAGTGTTCCAGACCATGGAGCTGAACTGTTCTCCAGGCTGAGGGACTGACCACTTCAAATACTTTTTCTCCAAGGTTGATGGACTGATTACATCATCTTCCTCTCACTACTACACCTGCTGATTCTGTATGTGACTGAATAAACTTACTGTGTAGGCGAAATGTGTCATCAATGAAGATATCCAGCTGTTGCACATGTGTCTTAATCTTCAACAGATACCTGTGTTTATTGCTGAGACGTTTCGCCTGCTTAAGGGGGGTTTCTTCAGTTGAAATACAGTGATCACATTAAGAGGTGTAGATATAAGGGGATGAGTCTCTCAGAGTTGGTGTGCGTATTGACATCTCCGTAACTTGGATCAGTGTGTGTTAATTCCTGTGGGAACTTTTACGTTGGTGGATCATCCAGGGGTTTGATACGAGGATCAGAGAAGACAGAACAACCAGCCAGACTGCTGCCACCATCATCACCTATACTGTGTATATCACTGGTATACAGTACCCACATGTTGGTAAACTAGACACCTGTGTAACACTTGTGTATCTTGTGGGAACGTATTGGACTTCATCAGTCCAATACAAGGAAGAGTGGTTAAGATCAGGAGTTTGAGGTGATCAGTCCCTCATATAAGACGCGTTTTCCCCCACGGAAAGTCTGCGTCTTATATGCTCAAGGTGAGGGTCAAGGGTAAACTTAGCAGTTGTTGGTAAACATTACGTTGCAATTGCATTCAGAATATCGTCTCATATGCCTCATATACTCGTGCGCCTTATATGCCGGAAAATTTTAATCCATTTAAGAGGCGTACTGCTCCAACTCTTTGGATCCAGAGCCCTGCACTAGCATCAAGAGTGCAAAATCTTTAACAGTTCACAGAAACACTATACTGTCTTATATACTCGTGCGTCTTATATGGTGGAAAACATTATATATGGAGTTTGCTTTAATTCGCATTTTATGGATTAGTCTTGTCTGGTGGTGAGGTTACGTGCAGTCTTAATGACTCTAGTGTAGTCGGTAGGATTGACCCCCCCCCACTGACCATTTTAAGCACCCATCTCTTGTGAGAATTAAGAAACCCCTGACGGGTGAAGGTCGTCTCTGGGACACAGGAGTTAACTATGTGTTGTGGCTAATTAAACGTAGGTAGAATTTAATCTTGGTTAAGAACGTGTTTACCATCTCAGGATCATGTCAGGCTGTTGTTGTGTGCTGGTGGTCAAGGTCACTGCGAGGAGGGAGGGAGATGAAGGAGGGAGATGAGGGAGGGAGATGAGATGAGGGAGGTTAAGGAGGGAGATTAGTGAAGGAGGTAAATGTATTTAGCCACACGTAGACATAAGTATAATTATCATATATAGTGTAAATTACCAGACAAAAGAAAGTCAGGCAGGTGAGGGAGAGAGGGAGGGAGGGTAGTAACGTGAGGAGAGATGGGGGGAGGGTAGTAACGTGGAGGGGGGAGAGAGGGAGGGAGGGTAGTAACGTGAGGGAGAGAGGGAGGGAGGGTAGTAACGTGAGGGAGAGAGGGAGGGAGGGTAGTAACGTGGAGGAGAGAGAGGAGGGAGGGTAGTAACGTGAGGGAGAGAGGGAGGGAGGGTAGTAACGTGAGGGAGAGAGGGAGGGAGGGTAGTAACGTGAGGGAGAGAGGGAGGGAGGGTAGTAACGTGAGGGAGAGAGGGAGGGAGGTAGTAGTGAGGGAGAGAGGAGGGAGGTAGTAACGTGGGGAGAGACAGGGGAGGGAGGGTAGTAACGTGAGGGAGATAGAGGGGGGAGGGAGTAGTAACGTGAGGGAGAGAGGAGGGAGGGTAGTAACGTGAGGGAGAGAGGGAGGGAGGGTAGTAACGTGGGGGAGAGAGGGGGGGAGGGTAGTAACGTGAGGGAGAGAGGGGGAGGGAGTAACGTAGGGGAGGGGGGAGGGGGGTAGAACGTGAGGGAAGAGGGAGGGAGGGTAGTAAGGTGAGGGGGGAAGCCGCTTTTGACGAGATGGAAGCTTGACGAGGAGGAGGAACGGGAAAACCCTCTCGAGCAGTTGTTTTGTAGTTAAAAACTTTTGTGTAGTTTTAAAGAGGGGGGGAAGGGAGGGAGAGAGAGGGGGAGGGAGGGAGAGGGAGGGGGGGGGAATGGGGGGGGGGGAGGGAGAGTGGATGGGGAGAGGGAGAGATGGATGGGGAGAGGGAAGGGAGGGAACACACCGTAGCTATTAATTTAGATATTAATAAGCTAATACAATCATAAACAACCACCACAACAAGCACTACCACAATACTAGCTACAAGCACTACCACAATACAGCTACTACACCTTCCACAACTATAGCTACTACATCACTACCACAACTATACTATAATCCTCCCAACTATAGTACTACATCACTACCACAATACTAGCTATACTCGCTACCACAAAACTGCATACTCCTCCCACAACTCTAGTGTACATCACCCCAAATACTAGCACTACTCACTACCAAAACTATGCTACACATCACTACCACAACTAATAGTACTACACACTACCAAAACTACTAGTTACTCACTACCAAAACTAGTATAATCACTACCACAACTCAGCTACTACATCACTACCACAACTATAGTTAACAACAAAATACTAGTATACATCACTACCACAACTACTAGCTATACTACACGGAGGGTAGCTATACATCACTAGCACAGAGGGACTAGCTAGTACATCACTAGGGAAAGAGAGGCTACTACGTAGAAACCCAAGACTAGACAGGGAATCGATACAACTAGAGCTACGATCGCCAGAACTAACTAGCAGTAGAGACTACGGCAACTACTAGTAGTAAGACTGACACAACTACTAGCTACTACACTACAAACGTACTAGAGAGAGCGTACAAACTACTAACTACTAGCACGCACATAAGCTACTGCATCACCACACAATACTGGCTACTAATCACTAACGAAGTACTAGCTATACATACACGAAAAGAGCAGAGCAGTACCACAAGTGACGACATCACTACGCACAACTACTAGCATAGGAACGAGGAGGCAGGTAGTACGTGAGAGATACCAGAGTAGTATACTACAGCAAGATGAGCTAGTACTACTAGCACAAGACGGGGTATACACAGCACTACCACAACTACTAGTACTACATCACCACCCAAGACTAGCTAATAGAGCACTACGACAAATGCTAGCTACTACATCACTACGGCAACTACTAGGCTACTAAGTACGACCAAAGTAGTAGCTATCATCACACAACTACTAGCTACTAAGCACTCCACATAGCTATGACAGTGACCACAACTACTAGTACTCATCACTCTCGCAGCAAGCTATGCTTGTGCTATTACAAAACTTTAGTATACAGCTACGCAAATGGAGCTACACATCACTACCACAACTACTAGTATACAGGACAAGACTATAGATATACAGCACACACAAGCTACTAGATTACGACATCTACCACAACTCATGTACTACATCACTACACAACTAACCAGCTACTACAGCACTACCACAACTACTAGCTACTACATCACACCACAACTACTAGCTACTACAGCACTACCACAACTACTAGCTACTAATCACTACCACAAACTACTAGCTACTACATCACTACCACAACTACTAGCTACTACATCACTACCACAACTACTAGCTACTACATCACTACCACAACTACTAGCTACTACATCACCAACACAACTACTAGCTACACATCACTCACCACACAACTACTAGCTACTAGAGCACTACCACAACTACTAGTACTACATCACTACCACAACTACTAGCTATACACACTACCACAACACTAGCTACTACATCACATACCACAACTACTAGCTACTACATCACTACCACAACTACTAGCTACTACAGCACTACCACAACTACTAGCTACTACATCACTACCACAACTACTAGCTACTACATCACTACCACAACTACTAGCTACTACATCACTACCACAACTACTAGTTACTACACTACCACAACTACTAGCTACTACATCACTACCACAACTCACTCAACTACTACATCACTACCAAAACTACTAGCTACTACATCACTACCACAACTACTAGCTACTTACATCACTACACCAACTACTAGCTACTACATCACTACCACAACTACTAGTTACTACATCACTACCACAACTACTAGCTACTACATCACTACCACAACTACTAGCTACTACATCACTACCACAACTACTAGCTACTAGAGCACTACCACAACTACTAGCTACTACATCACTACCACAACTACTAGCTACTACATCACTACCACAACTACTAGCTACTACATCACTACCACAAGTACTAGCTACTACATCACTACCACAACTACTAGCTACTACATCACTACCACAACTACTAGCTACTACAGCACTACCACAACTACTAGCTACTACATCACTACCACAACTACTAGCTACTACATCACTACCACAACTACTAGCTACTACATCACTACCACAACTACTAGCTACTACAGCACTACCACAACTACTAGCTACTACATCACTACCACAACTACTAGCTACTACATCACTACCACAACTACTACTAGTCACTACCACAACTACTAGCTACTACACACTACCACAACTACTAGCTACTACATCACTACCACAACTATAGCTACTACAGCATACCACAACTACTGCTACTACATCACTACCACAACTATAGCTACTACATCACTACCACAACTACTAGCTACTACATCACTACCACAACTACTAGCTACTACAGCACTACCACAACTACTAGCTACTACATCACTACCACAACTACTAGTTACTACATCACTACCACAACTATGCTACTACAGCACTACCACAACTACTAGCTACTACATCACACCACAACTACTAGCTACTACATCACTACCACAACTACTAGCTACTACATCACTACCACAACTACTAGCTACTACATCACTACCACAACTACTAGCTACTACATCACTACCACAATACTAGCTACTACATCACTACCACAACTACTAGCTACTACATCACTACCACAACTACTAGCTACTACAGCACTACCACAACTACTAGCTACTACATCACTACCACAACTACTAGCTACTACAGATACCACATAAACTCATCATACTACTAGCTACTACATCTACCACAACTACTAGCTACTACATCACTACCACAACTACTAGCTACTGCATCACTACCACAACTACTAGCTACTACATCACTACCACAACTACTAGCTACTACATCACTACCACAACTACTAGCTACTACATCACTACCACAAACTACTAGCTACTACATCACTACCACAACTACTAGCTACTACATCACTACCACAAACTACTAGCTACTACATCACTACCACAACTACTAGCTACTACATCACTACCACAACTACTAGCTACTACATCACTACCACAACTACTAGCTACTACATCACTAACACAACTACTAGCTACTACATCACTACCACAACTACTAGCTACTACATCACTACCACAACTACTAGCTACTACATCACTACCACAACTACTAGCTACTACAGCACTACCACAACTACTAGCTACTCTCACATCTACTACCACAACTACTAGCTACTACATCACTACCACAACTACTAGCTACTACATCACTACCACAACTACTAGCTACTACATCACTACCACAACTACTAGCTACTACATCACTACCACAACTACTAGCTACTACATCACTACCACAACTACTAGCTACTACATCACTATCACAACTACTAGCTACTACATCACTACCACAACTACTAGCTACTATCATCCCTACTACCACAACTACTAGCTACTACTGATCACTACCACAACTACTAGCTACTACATCACTACCACAACTACTAGTACTACATCACTACCACAACTACTAGCTACTACAGCACTACCACAACTACTAGCTACTACATCACTACCACAACTACTAGCTACTTCAGCACTACTACAACTACTAGCTACTAGATCACTACCACAACTACTAGCTACTACATCACTACCACAACTACTAGCTACTACATCACTACCACAACTACTAGCTACTTCAGCACTACTACAACTACTAGCTACTACATCACTACCACAACTACTAGCTACTTCAGCACTACCTACAACTACTAGCTACTACGATCACCCACAACTACTAGCTACTACATCACTACCACAACTACTAGCTACTACATCACTACCACAACTACTAGCTACTACATCACTAACCACAACTACTAGCTACTACATCACTACCACAAACCTCTAGCTACTCATCACTACCACAACTACTAGCTACTACATCACTACCACAACTACTAGCTACTTCAGCTACTACAACTCTGGCTACTACATCACTACCACAACTACTAGCTACTCAGCACTACTACAACTACTAGCACTACATCACTACCACAACTACTAGCTACTACATCACTACCACAACTACTAGCTACTACATCACTACCACAACACTAGCTACTCACACTACCACAACTACTAGCTACTACATCACTACCACAACTACTAGCTACTACATCACTACCACAACTACTAGCTACTACATCACTACCACAACTACTAGCTACTACATCACTACCACAACTGCTAGCTACTACATCACTACCACAACTGCTAGCTACTACATCACTACCACAACTACTAGCTACTACAGCACTACCACAACTACTAGCTACTACATCACTACCACAACTACTCTGCTCCTACCACACACTGCTACACCCTACACACTACTTCAGCTCTCACACACACTGACAGCCTCTCACACACACACTGACAGCCTCTCACACACACACTGACAGCCTCTCACACACACACTGACAGTCTCTCACACACACCCTGACAGCCTCTCACACACACATGACAGCCTCTCACACACACACTGACAGCCTCTCACACACACACTGACAGCCTCTCACACACACATTGACAGCCTCTCACACACACTGACAGCCTCTCACACACACACTGACAGCCTCTCACACACTGACAGCCTCTCACACACACACTGACAGCCTCTCACACACACTGACAGTCCTCACCACACCCTGACAGCCTCTCACACACTGACAGCTTCTCACACACTGACAGCCTCTCACACACACACTGACAGCCTCTCACACACACTGACAGCCTCTCACACACTGACACCTCTCACACTGACAGCCTCTCACCACTGACACTTCTCACACTGACAGCCTCTACACACACCTGACAGCCTCACACACCACTGACAGCCTCTACACATCTGACAGCCTCTCACACACTGACATCCTCTCACAACACTGACAGCTCTCACACACTGACAGCCTCTCACACAACACACACACCTGACAGCCTCTCACACACACTGACAGCCTCTCACACTCAACTGACAGCCTCACACACCACTGACAGCCTCTCACACACACTGACAGCCTCTCACACACACCTGACAGCCTCTCACACACTGACAGCCTCTCACACCACACACTGACACCTCTCACACACACTACTGACAGCCTTTCCACACACTGACGCCTCTCACACACTCACTACTACAGCCTCTCACACACTGACAGCCTCTCCACCACACTGACAGCCTCTCACACACACTGACAGCCTCTCACACACACACAGCCTTCTCACACACACTGACAGCCTCTCACACACATGACAGCTCTCACATCACACTGACGGCTTCACACACACTGACACCTACACATGCACCTCACACACACACTGACAGCCTCTCACAACACTGACAGCCTCACACACACACTGACAGCCTCCACACACACACTGACAGCCTCTCACACACTGACAGCCTCTCACACACACACTGACAGCCTCACACACACACTGACAGCCTCTCACACACACTGACAGCCTCTCACACACACTGACAGCCTCACACACACTGACAGCTTCTCACACACTGACAGCCTCTCACACACACTGACAGCCTCTCACACACACTGTCAGCCTCTCACAACACTACAGCCTCACACACACAAACTGACAGCCTCTCCACACACTGACAGCCTCTCACACACACTGACAGCCTCTCTCACACACACTGACAGCCTCACACACACACTACACACCTCACACACACTGACAGCCTCTCACACACATTGACAGCTTCACACACACTGACAGCCTCACACACACTGACAGCTTCTCCAACAAACTACACACACACACTCACAGCACTACACACACACTCACCACACACACACACACTGACAGCCTGTCACCATGCTAACAGCCTCTCACACACACTGACAGCCTCTCACACACACACTCACACACACACTAACAGCCTCTCACACACACTGACAGCTCTACACACACTGACAGTCTCTCACACACACTGACAGCCTCGCACTACTACACTGACAGCCTTTCACACACACCGACAGACCACACACACACACACCGACAGCCTCCACGCACACACTGACAGCCTCTACACATACACTCACACACACACTGACAGCGTCTCACACACATACTAACAGCCTCTCACACACACACTGACAGCGTCTCACACACATACTAACAGCCTCTCACACACACTAACAGCCTCTCACACACACTGACAGCCTCTCACACACTAACAGCCTCTCACACACACACTAACAGCCTCACACACACACTGACAGCCTCTCACACACACACTGACAGCCTCTCACACACACTGACAGCCTCTCACACACACTAACAGCCTCTCACACACACTAACAGCCTCTCACACACACTAACAGCCTCTCACACACACTGACAGCCTCTCACACACACTGACAGCCTCTCACACACACTAACAGCCTCACACACACACTGACAGCCTCTCACACACACACGCTGACAGCCTCTCACACACACACTGACAGCCTCTCACACACATACTATCAGCTCTCACACACACTAACAGCCTCTCACACACTGACAGCCTCTCAACAACACTACAGCCTCACACACACACTGACAGCCTCTCACACACACTAACAGCCTCTCACACACACTAACAGCCTCTCACACACACTAACAGCCTCTCACACACACTGACAGCCTCTCACACACACTAACAGCCCTCACACACACACTGACAGCCTCTCACACACACTACAGCCTCTCACACACACACTAACAGCCTCTCACACACACACAACAGCCTCTCACACACACTAACAGCCTCACCACACACACTGACAGCCTCTCACACACACTAACAGCCTCACACACACACTGACAGCCTCTCACACACACACTAGCAGCCTCTCACACACACTAACAGCCTCTCACAGACACTGACAGCCTCTCACACACACACTGACAGCTTGTCTTCTCCCCTGACAGAGTATGGGTAAGTCTCTGACCTTCAGAGGTGCAGTATTTGAGGCTCAAAATAAATTACGTCGTCATCGCTGCCGTGACCCTCTCTGCGACACTCACATCTGGAAGGTCAAACATGAACTCGATATGGCCAGAGTGAAGATTAAGCAACTCGAGAAGGAACTCGAGTCTCATGGAGTTAAACCCTCGAGGAAATTCGCCACGAGGTAGGTACTGAGGAGGGAGAGATCTGAAAAAAAAAATTAGTGAATATTTTTAACAAGCGCGAGGAAGATTGTTCCAGTGTAGTTACCCCTCCATGGAGGGTTGAGGAACGGAGGTGGCAGATGCTAAAGGTAAGTTGGTTCTCTATAACGTCACATTTTTCACTCATGTTATCCCGAGAGGAATGGAAAGGGAGAAGAAGATGATGCCATGGAGAACGTACAACTGTAGAAGACCCAGAAGAAGAAGAAAAAAAATTTTCCTTCCTGTCTTGCAGTCCCGTTTTCTGTTTGTTTATTTTCTAAAACCCAGATTGGATATTCTCTCACTTATTTTTTTAAAAATTCCTCCTTGATACTAACTTAGCTAACCTATTATCCTTGTACATATTCCCGTCTTATTAGTGAATTATATATGCAACTCTTAGGTCTATTTTCTGAATTTTTAAAGCACGTTTGTTCCTAACTGGCTCTTCAACGTAGACTAAACTAACTTGTAGAATGTTAAGATTTATTGGTCAAGTGTAATTAGTGTTTCAATAATTGTCATATATTCTTTCAACAAACCGGCCGTATCCCACCGAGGCAGGGTGGCCCAAAAAGAAAACCGAAAGTTTCTCTTCATAAATTTAGTAATATATACAGGAGAAGAGGTTACTATCCCCTTGCTCCCGGCATTTTAGTCGCCTCTTACAACACACATGACTTATGGAGGAAAAATTCTGTTCCACTTCCCCATGGAGATAAGAGGAAATAAACAAGAACAAGAACCAGTAAGAAAAAAGTAAATCCCGAGGGGTGTGTGTACATTATATGCTTGTACATGTATGTGTAGTGTGATCTAAGTGTAAGTAGAAGTAGCAAGACGTACCTGTAAATCTTGCATGTTTATGAGACAGAAAAATGACACTAGCAATCCTACCATCATGTAAAACAATTACAGGATTTCGTTTTACACTCACTTGGTAGGACGGTAGTACCTCCCTGGGTGGTTGCTGTCTACCAACCTACTACCTACCATATATATATATATATATATATATGTATATATATATATATATATATATATATATATATATATATATATATATATATATATATATATATATATATATATATATGTTGCAGAAAAGTGGAGGAGGTCCACTCAAATACTATCATAGGGAACGCCGGGCTCTCCCTGTGAACGTATGGATGGGTTTGGATTTGATAAGGACCTGCCCAGTATGGGTCACTAGACTAGGACCTGCCCCAGTGTAGGTTCCTACCTTAGGTACTAACCTCCAGTGTAGTAGGTCACTAGACACTACCCAGTGTAGGTCACTAGACCTACCCAGTGTAGGTCACTAGACATACCCAGTGTAGGTCACTAGACCTACCCAGTGTAGGTCACTAGACATACCCAGTGTAGGTCACTAGACCTACCCAGTGTAGGTCACTAGACCTGTCAAAGTAAACTTTCAAAGTTTAAAGTCTACAGTAATATTAATCAGTGAAGGCGGCCTGGGAACAAGCGTGCAACTATGCAATTAAACCCCCTTGACTCTCCATAATAAATCCATTTAGTCTGTTTTTAGGGGATTCCTATTCTTTTTCTGTGGCAATGTTAATTTTTTTATTATGAGGTCTACCCTTTTACGTCGCCAGCCTACTCTCGAAGTTCAGAAATTTCGAAAATGTAAGTTATTTTCAAAATTTAAAAGATACCCCTGAAAATTTATAATTTAGAGATAATTCAAGTACAATCCCAAAAAATTCAAAATTTTCTGAAATTAAAAGCAACACCTCGGAATTCAAAATTTCGAAAATTTAAAAGTTACTCCTCGAAGTTAAAAACAAATTAAAAGTTATCCCTCGAAACAAAAAATCGAAAATTTAATTGTTACCTATCGAAATTTAAAAAAAAAAATCAGAAGTGCTTCTCGAAATTAAAAAAAATCAGTTACCTCTCGCAATTAAATCACAAATGTCACCCATCGAAATTAATAGTTACCTCTCAAAATTAAAAACCGAAACTTTAAAAGTTACCCCACAAAATTAAAAAAAAATCGAAAATTTAAAAGTTACCTT